CGCAAAGGTTTGCTGTGGTGGAAAGGTTAATCAAAGTACCAGAGCAGTTAGAAATGTATTAATTTTTATTTTTTGGAAATATATTACTTAATTTTTTAACTCGTTTTTTTTCAGTTCTACAGCGATTTTGGTGATATTTTAAAATGTTTAATTACGAAATGTCGCGAAGTGGATCGATTGGCTTCCGCAAAAGCCATCTCCATAGCCCTCACTCATCAGTACGAGGAACTGCGGGTATTTTTCTTCTCACATAAGTATTTCATTCGAAGTTTTTGCCCACCTCCAAGCATCGTCCGCGCCCTCCTTTCCTTTTTTTACATTTTCTTCTACTTTTTTTTCCCTATGTATTTCCCCTCTTTATTTTTTCCTCCTGCTATTTCTTCTGATTTACATCTTTTCATCTTAATTAATTTATACACCTTAGTAAATTATTTTGTTACCACAGTTGTCGTACTGACGAGGTCCAACTGCCGTAACGGTAAGAAATGTATACGACTTAATGGACCGAAACATTTCTTACCTATAACAAATATTTCTTTAGACCCCTTACCTATTTTAATATCCTTTACCTCGTTTTCATTGTTTTTTTCTGATATTTTCCTTTTAACATTTAATAGCTCATATTTTGTAAAGTTGCTTAAATCGACCAAATTATTGTTATTTTATCGAAGCGCAACTAATTGCCAGTTTTGTTTTGACCCGTTTAACTAGCGTGCTAAAAAAGAATGCACTTTTTTTTCATTGGCAAACCGTCGAATTCCTCATTTTTTTCCTCACTAGTACCATTGGCTGAAAGTTTAAGTCCTGAATTATAGGTAAAGCGAGCAGCGATTTGTTCGACCTGCCCAGTTCTACTTCCTCTTTTTTCCGGTTCCAGCATATTTTTGATTGCTACAAAGGCATTTTAATGCTTTTTTTGTGTTAAGCGAAATTTTACGAATCAATGTATGGATCCAAATTCGGATGAATTTGCATCAGTTCGCGATCTGGCGAAACGCTTGTCCAGTGTATTTGGTTCGGATCCGGTCAAAAATCGTGAAGCACTGGCTGTCATACATAGGTAAGGAAGTAGCAACCAACTTTGTCCAATCTCTTCATGATAAATTACTTTCCGCTTTTGCTGAGAATCTTTTGTTTTGCAGAGATGGTATTGCTTTTGCTCTAAAAAACACAGAAGCAAATGCAGAACCAGGAGAACGACTCAATTACCTTGAAATTTTATGCGAATTTAGCAATAAATTGTTACGGCAAGACAAAATTTCCGTGTAAGTTCCATCCTTTTTTTCCTATATTTCTTTTAATCGTCATTCCAAAACCCACAAAAACTAAAGGGCTGAAAATTTGGGGACTTAATCTAGGGCCCCATCCCCAAAATGGGCCGTCTTACCTGCGCGGTATCATCGTGAAAATTTTTTGCGGGTAAATCGCCAACTCGGGAACGAGATAAGCTAGGAAGCTGAAATTTTAAGAGGATGTTCCCCACCAAAGTTTTATCAGTTCGTTGGTTGCTGTTCCAGTGAATCTTGTCTCATTCTTTTACTTCCCT